AAGTGACAGCCTTGCAATGTGTGACTGATGGTACCAGAGCAATTCCTGATCTTTAATATCCCAACTCACACCCGTGGCCAGCTCCAGCCCTGTGTTGGTTTTGAAAACAAGCAAGCTGTGGACTCAGCAGTTTCAAACTCTCAGATTCGTGTGCCAAAATGTTCTCCAAGGCCTGAAATCAAATGGGAGGGGGTGTTTCCTGGGCTGCTGTATTCACCCTCGGCCACAGGATCCCTCTACCAGGTCACTCTAATGGAGCTCACGGGCAGCTCCCACTCGGTGCCATGATCACACCACATGCCTGGCCTTGCCTTTATCTGACAGAGCAGCACCAAAAGACAATCCTTTGGAATAGAGGGTTAGTTTTCTGTATGGAAGTTATAAAATAGCTCAAGTGGTGAAAAGGGAGAGCAGCTCTCCGTGGATGGTTTGCTTCTGCTCTGTGCAGCGCACTGTGGGAAAATCCATATGGGCTCTGACTGATGCCATGTGCATGCGAGGAGCCCAGCATCTGAGGGCATCTTCATTTTACCTGCTGTCTGTATTCCTCATCTTACTCAGTCTTATTAAAGCAATCATTAAGCTATTTGTTGCTCGACCTCTCTGTCTCTCTCTCTGTCTCTCTCTCTGTCTCTCTCTCTCTCTCTTCCCTCAACCATCCTCTAGAGCAGAACAGCTGCCCAGGTTGCAGGAGTTACCAAATAAAAGGTTATTTTGGTTTGAATTTGTAATGGAAAGAGGCTTACAATGCATGTTGCATGCATGTATACATGCCAGTTCATTGCCAGCAGTGACATTTTAGACATTGTTGCACTTCAGTAAGTGACAGGAGAACAACAAGAATAGTCAACTGAATAAAAGGGGAAGGACCTGCCAGGACTTTTGCCAACCCTCTGCCTAACTAGTATCAGAAAAACATCCTGATCTCTTCAAACACAGAGACACACACATGTATAGCTCAACCCTGAGATGCCAGTTTGTAGAGATCATTCTCCATTTTCCTTGTAGGACTACAATGGCTTTTTAACCACTCATCTCACAGCTGGACACTGCTCTTAGTTTTAAAGATGACCTGAAATATTCTTAAATAAGGTGGTGCTGCCAGCTTTGCTGGTTTAATGATCAGTTCCTTGTGATCTGAACTCAGCTGTTTCCACCTTCAAGCTGTCTACTTGATCAACCTGCCCACTCTTCCCTAAGCCCCCTCAAACTTTGTTCACAGGACTCAGGTGGCTCCAGCTGACCAGAACAGAATTCTAACTCATTAAAACCCTTATCTTGCACCAGCAAAGTATTTCCCCACCTGTCAATGAAGCAACCAGCTTGCTCTGGAGTGTCAGCTCTGAGTTTCTTACATCCATGCCCATTTTACATACTGACCTCCACTGCACCTGCTCCACAGGCCGCTTTCCCCTGTGCCTGTTGTGCCCTGGTGATGTGGAGATGTACAAGCAATCTGCAGGAAGGATGGAGTTTCTGCACCAGAGAACCTGCAATGTTATGGGGTTTGGAATCCTTCTGTGCACTTATCAGTGACATTTCAACTTACATGGTTTATACTCTATCTTAATTATTGAGTCATTACAGAGCATGCACAGTTGTCCCCAGTGCTATTTCAAATTCCCAACTGCCGTTTGTAGAGATTTTTTTCTTCCAGAAATCCGCTACACAAATGCTGCTGGGAAAACAATAGGCGGGGTGTAAATTGTCTTATGTCCCCTTCTCCTGACAGCTTCCTACTAACGAAAACGTTTATGACAAGAAAAAGCAAAGCTCTCTCCAGTTCCAGCTGTGCCACGTGGTCTGTCTGGGGCCCATGGTCAGAGCTGAGCTCGGCTGAGCTCAAGTGACTCCAGCAGGTCACAGCCCTGGCCAGAGAAGGCTGAGGCAATGCTGTCCTGGTGGGTGATGCAACCAAAGGCTCCGAGAGGGCTGTATTTCTTATTGGAAACATCTGCCTGTCACTTGGCATTTGAATGAGCAGTTGGAAGCTGCTGGTAGGTGCTTGTGTCACGGTAATGACTGTGACAGGCTTTTTCCATCTCTGAGGAGGAGATGGTTGTGACATTTGCTTTGAATGCAACTTTGAAGTCACAGAGTTTCTGTGTTTGAGACCGGCAGTGAGGATGAATTCTGTGTAAAGCTGTATTTCAGATCAGCCCAGCAATTAACACTGTCCAGGCAGTGCTATCTGACTGGTGCTGCTGAACCTGTGAACAGCAGCATGCCCTGAGGCTGCTGCAGCCTTGGAAGGGAGCATGGATATTTCAGTGCTGCCCTACATCCTCTGCTGTTACACACGAGTTATCTGTTTGAGCCTCTTCTCCCCACAGCTTTGCATGGTGCTCCAGGGAACACCAAACACTGCTGTTTCAGGGTGTGCACTTGGCTGCTTTCCCCTCTTTTCCAGGTGGGAGTCAGTGGAGAAATGGCTCTCACTGATTTTAGGAATAGGTTAGGAAGGAAAAATCATAAAAGACTGGCTGGTTTCAGGAAAGGATTAGTCATCAATACAGCATAAAGGTAATCTCTTTTGTGTATGAAGGATAGGCAATTACAAGCTGGAACATAACCAAGAATGCAAAGTTGTCCTGCCTTCCTGTGAACTACGCTCTGCTTCCACTGAGAAAAGGAAAGAAAACTACAAGACTTACATTATATCTTGAAATTCAGTGATTTTAAGGTATCTTTCTAAGGCAGAGGAGAGCAGGCTGATGAGAGCTCAGTACGACCAGTTGCCATACCTTCCAACGAGTTAAACAGCTGAGAGCTGGGCTGTCAGCAGCAGAACCTCAGTGCCAGCCCAGCATCTTGCGTCTCTTCCAAAAGACAGGCTGTAGAGCAGGGCAGGCTGATTGGAACAGTGCTAATAAGTGAAGCATCGGCAAGCTTGCCCCCGGTTTTTGGGGGGTGCCCTAGGCAGAGGTCACCAGGATTCCCCCTCTGGACAGACTCACACAATGGTCAGATCCCAAGCAGGATTACAGATTATGGCTCCACTGGCAGGTAACAGGGTGACCCTGGTGACAATGGCCAGGGTCATCAGAGAGCCCTAATCACCAGAGTAGTCTGCAGTGATGAGAGACAGGATCAGCTCGGCCACCGACTGCCAGCACAGCTGCAGCAAGTCGGGCAAGGAGCAGGGCTGACAGCCTGGACATGAATACAGCTCATGTGCTAGGGGACAGTCACACTTATCAGATGTTTGGTCCCCTGTGCCAGCTTCGGGGGATTTGTGAGGTGTTGATGGCTCCTTCTGGCAAGGCTGGCACATGGGATGAACCTTCCCAGCCTTTATAGCAAAATTCTGCATTTACTGCCAAAATTAATCCCATGTAAGCATGAGAGATGGGGCACACTGCTGGGGTAACATGGAGGGAGCTGATGTGGCTTGGCTTTGCTTTGCTTCAGCATGAAAGAGGGGATGTGTGTGTGGGGAGGGTAACAGGGAAGAAAAAGTCTCATCATCCTGCACCTCTGCAAAAGAGGTGTCCCACACAAACCCCAGGATTTGCTGTGGGTCTGCCCCTTCATGCAACACTAGTTGCCTTTGTTTTCATTGAAGAAACTTGGAGATTTAACACACACACACACACACAGACAGGGGGAAAAAAAGAGAGAGAGAGAAAAAAAAAGAGAAGAAAAAAAGGAGTAGGATGTGAAGAATACGATTAAAGCAGGATTTGGGCACTGGCAGAGAGCTGCCGTGGGTGGTGGGTATTAGCAGTAACAGCTGCTGCGCTTCCCATTAGAGGAGCAGGCGAGGAAGGTCCCTGAAAGGATGGATCTCTGGCAGGCCAGCAGGGCAGTGGTGGCAGCGAGCCCGGCAGCGAACGTGTCCCAAGGTAAGCGCCGGCAGCGCCGGCAGCCTGAGCCGGGCAGCCCCGGGGAGCAGCGCTGCTCCCCCGCGGGGATGGGCACAGGAGGGCGGCGAAGCTGGGATGGGAAACGGCACAGCCCGGGAAACACCCAAGGGAAAGAGCTGATACTCGGGGCTACTTCCATGAGATCCTGCTAGAAATCTTATCCAGCAAGGGAGGTTCAGGTGTGCCCAGAAGTGAGGTTGGCTCCATGAAGAGGACACATCCTGCCGCTGGTCCAGCAGGGCTAGAAGAGTTAGCAAAGGCTCCTGTGGTTCTCATGAGCACACAGCTGGTTGGAGTGGCAGGATGCTTGGTGTGGAAGGTTAAACTGCATCCATCTGCTTGCTGCTTTAGGCTGGGCATGAATTGTTTTCTCTGTGTGGTGCTTCATTAGTCGGCTGGCAAGTTTCAGAAGTGTTCGAGAGGGAGGTGTAAGCTAGATGTCCTCAGCCTCTGTTGCCTCTGATTTATTTATGTTTACTCATTGACTAAGTGTAATGACATCTAAGGCAGGAAAGGCTGCATGTTGAAAAGAAGATGGTAGAAAGTGCTACATTAAAATCAGAAGCACTTGCTTTGCAATATCCATTACCAAAAATGCCACACACTCATCATTCAGCTCCACTTTGAAAAGTGCATTTTGAAAAAGCAGAATGACCCTATACTCTGTTCAATCTGGAAATGTGTTTTGTGCTGTCACTGCAGGGACACGGCTCTGTGATGGCAGGCAGGGACAGGCTCTGCCCTAGGCACCAGCCCTATATGTGATGGGGCCTGCAGCAGCTCTGCAGGTCCAAGGGAGAGATGTTTCCCCTGTTGATCAGGCTGTACATTTGGGCTGAGTGTGGCTGTACAGAGCCTGCTCCTTCTTCTAAAACATACAAGGCTTTTTAGGGCAAATCTTTTCTGGCTGCTCCCTCCATGGGCAGCTTCACAGAAATACATCCTCCTGTGGGGGGGCTCTTCCCTCTCCCAGCCTGAACAGTTCACTTCAGAATGTAAACTGTGGATTCCCAAAGTGGCTCCAGGTGCCACAGAGATCACTCACTCCCTTTTGTTTAAAGACAGTGGGGAGAGGAGCTCTGGAGGTGAGGTGAATCAATGGCACCATTCGGGAAGCCACTGCTTTGAAGTGAACTCCACGTTGTTTCCTGCTGTAGGATGGAGGATGGTGGGAGAGCCCACACTGCCATTGCTGGCTGGGCCTGCACCACGCTGTGCTTGGTGTCCTACGCAGCCGCCTTCTCGCAGGGCGCGAGCCTTTCTGCCTGCACCGACATGATGCCCAGGCACCTGAGGGTGCAGCTGCACAGCTCCAACAACAACTATGTCACTGTCCACACCAATGTGTCCTTCTACTTCCCGGGAGACAAGGTGCCAGGTAAGGACAAGCTACTCATTCCTGCATCTGAAAAATACATGGTAACTTCTCTCAAGTGCTGGAATTAATCTCTGTGAATCTGGGAAGAGGGATAACTGCTCTGAGTGAGTTACAACACCTCTCTGGTCATGAGGACATATTTACAGAGGAATTCTGTTTGCTGCATGGGTACTTTGGGTGGGATTTATTTATCTCAACTGTGTCTCAACCATACCAGACCTTATTACATGCAATGGCACATGAGAGGCACCTCCAGTGGGTAAAGTCACCTTCCCAGCCCCTCTGCACCACTCAAAGGGGTCTGGGTGACTCACCTGACTCTTGGGCATGGTTGGCAGCATTCCCCATCCCTGGCATTGCTGCTCCTCAGGCAAATGCAGACAAAGCTGAGAGGCACTATTCCCCAGCTTGGCCATTTGCTTGTTCATCCGTGTGCAAAACAAAACCCCTCTGAGGGCAAAACACGAGCTTTCACAAACACAGAGCGGTGTCCAAACCTCCCTCCTTAAAAATGGCTGCATGCTGCCTGATCAATGTGGTTAACAGCTTATCATCAAGGAGGGATGGGGGGAAGACTTGGGCAAATGCTGTGTGCAATAACACATTGCAAAACCAAAGGTGTTTTCAGTAGTGTTGGCCAAGGTTTTTTTCTGGGAACTCCATTGCAGACAATTCACTCCATAACAGCAAGATAAATCCCTTTGTGTCCCGTGTTTTGTCTTCCAAAAGTGACAGTAAGAAGCACGCGGGATTACATGGGCTTTATGCTGCAGGCTCGCAAAGTGTCCAACAATGAAATCACTGGCACGTTCATCTTCCTGCCTCCCGGTTCCAAGCTGCTGACTTGTTTTGAAGATGGTGACACTGTCACACACTCGGACAAGTCACTGAAGAGAAACCTGTCCTTCGTATGGAAAGCACCAGACCAACCCATTGGAGACATCAAGTTTTTGTAAGGACGTGCTGGTTCCTAATCAGAATTTGTGTCTTCTCAGTTACAGGCTGTTCAGCACAGTGCTTTATGTATCTTGAACCCAATATAGCTAAATACTTACCAAATGCTGCAACAATATCCCAGCTGGTACATAAATCACCATTAATATCTGCTGTGTTCTGCTGCTTTTTATTCACATGGTCACTGTTTTCTCAGAATAGATACACTGGAAGATGACAGCTTAAGCATTTTAGGAAACAGAAATATTAAGGCATAAAGAGAGAACCATGTTGCCTGTCTTTGTAAATAATACAGCCCGTAGGACTTCCCTGCCAACAGGATAATCTTGTATATCACTTTAAAAAAAAAGGTGGTTTTAAAAAAGTTAAATGTAAACAGAATCACTCACAAATTACTCACAAGAGAAAGAGAGTGAGCACTGTGTCAAAACTTGACATCTCTGTTTTGCACCAAACTGTCCAAGTAGCTTGGTTCTAATTTGGAATGAAATTAAACATCTTCTAACTGACTGCCTTAGAGGAAGCACAGTGGCTTTTCATTTCAAAAGAGATTAAATTGTTATATTTCGACTTCAAAAAAATCACTTAGAAACTGCTTGGCCAGATCCTTGGCTGCTTCCCAAAACCTAAGTGTCCTGTTGAGTGTTGTGGCTTGAGTATCTCATTGTAATTCAAGAAAAATTCATTGAAACAGAAATATTGCTGCTTGGAATTTCCAATTTTTGGCCATTGCTTTAGATCAGAAAATAATATTTAAGTTTAAAGAAATACTATTAAACTCACAAAAAAAACCCCAAATAAACCCAAACAAATCCCAACAAGACCTAGTCCTAGCCACCTACTCTGATACTTCCTTCACACTCTGACTTTTGACCCTCCAAGCTGATATCTGATAGCCTCTCCCTTTTTACCCTGTCACAGCATCTGGAAAAACACCTTATTAGGCTTAAAAATGCCTTGTAAGTTTCATCTGGCCCAGAAAAAACCCAGGTTGGTTTCCTCTTAGATAATTTTCAGAAGCTGCTGAGCAATCTGAGCTGAAATTCTCCCAAAATCTCCAGCTTAAATAAGACTCTCAGGGTGAAGTTAAAGGTTGGCCAACACAGTTTTGGCACCTGACAAAAAGCAGAGGATTAGGCAGGCTCAAATATCAGAGGGCTGAGAAGAGAGACTTTTTCTTACCCTTACCTATTCTGCTGTTTGTACAAGTTACATTGGCTTGTTTTAATTAATAAATACCACTGTTGTTTCCCTGCCTACAGAAGATTATAAGAAGAGCTAGTCCAAGTTTTACAAATGTACTTCTATCAACATGATGAATGTAATACAGCTTTTAATTTTTTTTTTTTTGTTTCTTTAAGTTCCCACACATTTTTTGGCTGAACTTAATTACTAAGTGGTGATTCTTTACCCTAAATCTTTCTTATGGGACCTGGTACCTTTTATTTGTAATAGGAAATGCACAACAGGTTAATCCTTTAGAATACTTTTGCTTTGGTTCTCTCTTCAGATTAAAGAAGTCTTTGTGATCAGCTAAACAGTCAGATGTTTTATTAATGCTATAGAGCCAGTAAATTCTTGCCTGATTGTGTTTTAACAGCATCTCCATAGTCCAGTCATACTTTGTTTACTGGGCAAAGATTGAATCTGCTGTTGTGGCTCAGGGAGGGCAAAACAAGACTCTTGCTGACAAGAAGCCCAATGCTGTAGCTCCCATGCCTCTGCAGGGACCAGCTGACCTTCACCCCACAGGTATGGTGAGCAAATCTTGTTGTTCCTTATCAACACCCCCTGCAAAGCACTTTTACAGTTTATTCTGGGCAAGTGTCCAACACAAGTGGCCCAAACAAGTCATTAAATGAGGGACCCATTTAACTGCTGTGTCTGTCGAGATCAGTGATGGCCATGGTGAGCTCCTTGAAGTGAAGGTGTGGGTCAGTATTTGAGGTGTGGGTCAGTATTGGAGGAGCCAGTTCCAAGGAGGGCACCAGAAAGTTAAAAGGGGTTGGCAGATCTTATGATTTCAATGCAAATCTTAAAATACTTTACCTAAATCTCAGCTCTTGAAGAGAAGGAAGTGCAATTAGCAATGTTGCCTAAACAGAGGAACACATTTGTCTCTAAATGTGATTATTACCCTCCAGCTATATATTTAGTTGCATTTATGCAGCCTTTGGTCAGTAAGATGCTCCAAGAATTTACTTATACCCAAATCAAATGTATTTCTCTGCATTTTTGGCATGGCACCAAGGCTGAGTTTTAATTATTTTACTTGACCATTACATAGGCAGCAAGCTTTGCTGCTTTAATATCCATGTGGGTTCTCTCTTAAAAATAAGTGACATGAAAATAAAAGAGTCACTGTTACAAACCTTCCTGGCAAACCTTGGCACTGAGTGGGATTTGAAATAAACAAACTGAAGACAAAAGATTTCTGCTCCTCTCTCCCTGGTTTTTGTTTTGTCTCCCTGCTGGACAAGGTCCCATCTCTCCTGCAGCTGCCACTGGCTCCCTGCTGCCTGCCAGCCCCACTGGCATCATGGCAACACCAGCACCAGAGCCAGGTTTTGGTGTGGGGTCAGACACTCGTCCCGTTGCTGAGCCAAAGCAGCCAGCCCGGACAGCGCGGGCTGTGTCCGGCAGGAGCGTCCAGTCCAGCGGCCGGGGGCTGGAACCGCCCCTTCCCACCCAAGATGTTGGAATGGTGGATTCCTTGCAAGGTTCCCTCTCCCAGGACAATGCCTCCAGCGACAGCACCTTCAATGGGTAAATCTAGGTGGTGGGAAAAGCTGTTCCTCCAGTCCTTATGGGGAAGGAAAATAGTACTAGTTTCCCTGCAGATGAACAAGGAAGATGTAGGAAGGTGTCTGCGTGTAGGGGGGAGGTGAGAGGGTGTTTGTTTGCTGAGATTTTAAGAAAAAAATCCTTTGGATATTGCACATGACAGACAGTGACAGGGAAAAAATCCAAAACGCCTAAGAACCCAACACTGCGTTGCTCAGCACAGTGGGGGACTGGCCAGGTGGTGGAAAAATGTGATAAAACCTATCGACTGTTACAACGTTTTTCTGAAAGTGCATACAAATATTCAGTGAAACAGTGAACTCAGCAGACCTATTTCTCCATCTGCAGGGAAAAAGAAATAAAAGGATGCAAAGCAATTATGACATTTGGGCTTGAGGACGTCTGCTCAGAAGTCTTAGAAGGTTTGGGCTGCATGAGCTTTCATGCAACATTTCATATTGTGGGTGAAAAATATGGGGATAGGAATCAATGATCAGGCATAATTCAAAATACAATCTACAAAATATGATCTACATTGACTGTATGGATCCCAAAACTGCTCTGAGGAGCAGCACTTCTTGGTGGTGTGAGCCACAGGTGCCACTTGCTAACCCTGCCTTTCCTCTGTCCATATTTCAGAGCAAGAAACATTGCCAGTGCTGCCACCCTACACTTGTGTTTGATGTGTACAGGCAAGAGAAAGGTAAGCACCAGGGGTGGGGAAGACACCCTAGCAGCCCATGTAGGTGTCATAAGTGGCTAAAACTACACTGAGACTGTTAAAAGTTTTAATTATTTTTCCTTAACAGGAAATGGGGGGGTTATATCTCTTTCTAGTTTGGTTGGTGTTTTAGTTTTTTTGTTTGGTTGGTTGGTTTTGGTTTTTTTGTTTTGTTGTTTTTTGTTTTGGTTTGGTTTTTTGTTTTGTTTTTGCTTGTTTGTTTGGGTTTTTTTTGAGCCCACTGCCTGGGTTTTTAAGAGGACCACTGTAAAAGCAATTGCTTTCCCTTATGTAGACATGACTACAGGCTGGTAGAAATGTCTGTGCTTAGAGATACAGGATACAGAGTTAATGGGGTAAGTCCACTATGAAGTGATGGTGAGAAGAAAAATACAAGGAGAAGAAAGAACTAGGGTCTCCAGAGTGCCAAAGAAGGAAGAGAAAGAACCACACAGAAAATAAAAGAGAAATGGGACACACAGCACAGAATGAGCCAGAAATATTTAGGAAGCAGCAGAGGACAGAGAACAAGTAAAGGAGAGATGTGTATCGTGAGCACCTGGTATAGCCATGGAGAGAAGTGGAGAACTGGCAGTAGATGGAAACCAAAGGGAAGGACAAGTTATTGCACAAGGCAAGATCAGAAGAGCATAATGAAACAAAAAACACTGAGAAATTAGGCAAGAATGGAGAGGAGTGTGAAAAGAAAGAGGAAATTAGTTGAGATAGGGTAAGGACTTGTGAGGCAGTTCCATTTTCTATCCCAAAGTCCCAAATCCTGCAGAATATCCTTACAGTACAGCTTTTGCATTTTGAGGGCAAGTTATCCATACACATGCAATCCTAACTTTGTCAGCCTGCTACTTTACAGTTCAGCCACTGAAAGTCTTCTATTTACTACTGTATTTTAATAGCATCTTCAGAAACCATCCCTTCCACAAAGGATGCTCTGACCCTCCACTACTTTGCTTCACAGCTTGCCAGGGCTCCTACCTCAGCTTTGTACTCCTGTCACACTGTCTTCCCAGGAAGCTTTAGAAATCACTAATGATGGTAGAGGGTGAGAGTTTCTCTGGTGTAATTAATGGATGTGTGAAAAAGCCTGCTGGGCTGGACAGGCTGGAGAGGTGCCAGCTACCGAGGGCCAGAGCCAAATCTCAGTGGAGCTAAATTAAAAACTCCAGTACATTTTGCAGGTTTTGGATGGGGGCTCAGGTGCATAGTGGGAATGGAAAAATTCATTGGGGACCTCCTAAATTGCATGCTTGTTCCCCAGTTAGTCTTGGATGATACCTGCAGCAAAGCCTGGGCTGCAGAACCAGTGTGGAGCAGCTGGCATTTTGTGACAGTTAAAATAAGGTGCATGGAACCAGACAGTCCTCAGAAACAGGCCCAGGCAGGAACTGTCATTCCCACTAAAATGGGTGGTTAAGCAGCACAGAAGGGCAGAAGATTTCAGACTGTCTATGTACACTGAGAAAGCAAGACAGGCTTTGCGGAGAGTTTATAGTTTGCATGTGAATGCCCCAAAACTGCTGATGGCAAAGGCCATCCCAAATCTCCCATGTCCATACACAGCATAGCCTCAGAAGGGCAGTACTGAATCCCAGTGGGTCCATGTGAGCCTACACACGCAGCTTGGCTGGGAAGATCACACCTGCCCTTTCAGCATGACCCTGATGCCACTCAAGGTGGGAATTGTTTATTAAGTG